CGCCACTGACTGTGCGAGTGCTGATAGATGGGTCAGAGTGCCGAGTGAAGCGTCCCGCCTGCTTACCCACACTGAGTCCAGTCTGCTCCTAATACAGCAAACAACCAGTGACCATCCAGACACACACAGACAGAGAAAAGGTCCCTTAAATGAGGTTGGTACTGCGATTCATATTGCATTTACCAGAACTTACTGCAGCACTGTATTATTATGTAAAGTAATACACATAAGTAGAATTAATTAGTAGTGGTATTAAACTTTATTAACCCCTACAAATCGGCATTATATTCAGTCATGATTATATTCAGTTACTAGTATGGTTTATTTATGGGGTACCCAAACTTTAGGGCAAAAAGTTTATGTTTATGGTGAAACAATGGCCAAAAACACAAAACAAACAAAGTATACAAATAAGGACCATAGATAGGTTTCAAATTGAGTATTTACTGTATTTCATAGCATTACATTATAATTTGCTACTAAAATACAAAGTATCTAATAATTCTATAGTAAAAGCTTTAAATTCAGTATCTACTATAAATTATTCACCATATACTAATTAATTATTCAGTATCTACTATTAATTATTCAGTATCTACTTTTAATTATTTAGTATATACTGGTTATATATTCAGTGTCTACTATTAATTATTTAGTATATACTGGTTATATATTCAGTGTCTACTATGAATTATTCACTGTATACTTATTGATTATTCAGCATGTTTTAATGAATTATTCCATGTGTACTATGAACTATTTATTATCTACTCTGAACTATTCAGTATCTACTATGAAATTAATGTGTATGTTCTGTAGGTATGAGAATTGGAGTCTAAAGGGTTAAATTAAATTAAATTGATTTAAATTTCATTTAAAGTGAAGGAAGTTAATTTACCCAAGCTGGACATCTTTTTATGTGCAAATTATAGTCAAATGACATGTTGATTTCTAAGTTAAAAGAACTTAACACATCTTCTGTTTATTTGCTGAATTTAACACATTTGTTAAGCTCTGCCAAGAAATAGACCTTGTACACTAAAATTAGCAAAAAAATTCATATTTAAGTTGGTTCCTTGAAGAGGCTGAGTTAACTGGAGAACATGAGTTAACTAGAAGTTATTTTCACTTAAAAACTTTAATTATAGAGCATTTTTCATAGCATGAAAAAAGGCAGCTCAAAGTGCTCTACAGGCACTCCACAGTTTAGAAGCAAAATAACAGAAAGAGTCGCTCTCTGTTGAAGCAAAAACAGCCTTATCTCTGTTTCAATGGTTTGTCAGCTGATGAAGAGCAGTGGAAAATGAGTTTGTACAATTAATAAAGGAATGAACTTTGTCATGCGGAGGAAAAGAACCTCTGCATTTTACCACTGCTGACTAATATTACACTGAACGCAGTTCTTGCTTTAAAGTTGCTGCTACAGCAGCTTTCAGAGGAATAGTTCGTTTTCTCCCTCAATAATGATCAGCAACTGAGAGAGTAGATGTTCGTTCACTGGAGCCGGTGGTTCCACCACTTACGGTTCTTGTGAAAAGGGCCTATTTAGAGCTTTAAAAACCAGCAGCAGAATCTCTCCTAAAAGATCCAGGCAGTCAGTGCAGTGTGTAATAGGAGTGATAGGAGCTCTCTGTGTTGGTGTTGTGAGGATCTGTGATGCTGTGTTCTGTCTGAGATATAGAGGTTGGATTGTTTTCTCCACTAAGAAGATCATTACAGTGATCACTTCTGCTAAACAAACACAGCAACAAGTTTCTCTGAGATAGAAAAGGCCGAACTTTAGTGATATTTCTCAAATGATAAAAAGCTACTTTAGTGGCTGTATTTACATGCAGATTAAAACAGAGCTCAGATCTGATCTAAGATCACACCCAGGTCTCCTACTTCAGGTCTGGTATATGGAGCTAAAGAGCTGAGCTTCTCATAAAGCAGCTTTCTCTGAATCTTGAAAATGTTTTGACATCCACTGAGAAATATCTGACACTCAACAGAGCCTTGATCATCGGAAGGAATGGTAATGTATTAGCATAGTTATGAAAATTTATATTATATTCCCTAATGACATCACCTAGAGGTAACATGTATAAAGAGAAAAGCAAATGCCCTAAAACTGTACCTTGAGGGACTCCACAAGAAAAGATAAAGTTTTGTGATGAATGATTTCCCAGTGAAACCAAGAACTTACACATGATTTAAACAAACATTATACAGCACAAAATTTCACAATAAACCCCCCCTCCCAAGCTCTAAGGGCTCATATGTGTATCCATAGTTCTGCTCATAATGGAGTCATTTCATAAAACCAAATGGACATGCTCACTTAAACGATTTTAAGTTAAACAAAATCACAGGTTTTTTGTCCTCCATAGTGATAGTGTGGATGGTATCAGACCTTCAGAAATGCAGTAGAGTCAGTCACTGCACAATGGGCATGTTTCTGGAGGACACTCAGAGGGGGTGGAGCCATTAAGACTTTTAAAGTACATGCAGCTTAAACATTCACAGATAAAAGTAAGATAACCTTTATTTGAGCAGATATATACTAATATATACTAATATAATTGATATTACAACTAAGATGATGGAAATTACAACTGTGTAATCATTTTGATTAAAATGTTTTCTGAATTTGTATCATGTTTATAAGTTTACAACATGTTTTTCATTGTACTGTGTACTGGGTCTCATCAGCCACAGTACTAAACTACATTGTAGTGCACAATCACTCTGTATTTGCTGACTTCAACATATTTTATGTTCTATTATTTTCCAAAATGTTAAACAGAGCAAATAAATGGTAATTGTGCATTAAAGTGTGCAGAAGTGTGTGCTCTGTAGAACAGACATGTCAAACTGATGACCTTCTGGGCCAAAGCGCTGCAGAGATTAGCGTTTACCCTCATCTAATGCTCTGAATTCAGTTTATGAAGGCCTTCCTAATTAGCTGATGAGCTGAATCAGGTGTGTTTAATGAGGCAGTTGTTGCATGTGCTGTAGAGGATGTGTTAACTTAGTTACACTTCAACAAAACATGTAATTTGACTCAGGGCACCTGAACTTTTGCATATGACTGTAAATCCTCCAAACTGGGTTTACATTCAGTTTTTGTGCATTTTGAACAAAACTCTTTTCTCTTTCCTTTGTTCTTAAAGCTCTGTGTATGAACCTGTAGACGCCCCACAACTGCCTGCAGTGCCTCTTCACTCCTTTACAGATCCACCCAGAATACATCACATCCTCCCACATTTCACTGCTCTCTCTACAGACATGCTCTGGCTCTAATGACCATGTGTTTGCGTCGTGTGCTCCTACAGAGCCCGACACACTGTGATGTTATCTCGCTCAATATGTTGAAGGATCACCCTGAGTTCGGACTGTATATGTATTCTGGACTCTTCGATGACATGAATTGTGTGAGTGGACGCTGTGTTGAGGTCTATAGCGTACAGAAGAGGCCAACAGAAATAGAAACACTGGGTGTGGACCACAGAGGACCATCAGACCCTCAATATCCTGTGTGATCTATCAGATGAAGTTACTGAGCACAAACCAAAGCCACCTCAGCACGATTCAACACCATCTTCATCTATCTATCTATCTATCTATCTATCTATCTATCTATCTATCTATCTATCTATCTATCTATCTATTTTTATCTATCTATTATCTAATTTAATTGTTTCTTCTCATTTGTTTCATTATTTGAAGAATAAACAGATCTTAAAACAGGCCTTAAGTGGTATTTTTTGATTTGTTGAATGTCAATAAGACTTTCCTGTGCTGAAGCTTCACTTTCTCCCATGATCCCAAGAGGAAAGGATCAGTGTGAGGATCAGTTATTCTTCTTTTCTCTTCCTTTTCTGTACAGCGGTTCAGACCTGCTCTGTTCCCTCAGTGTGAGTATAAGCCTCTGTCCTGTCAGGGTTTATTCTCTGAGCTCTGAGCTGAAAGAGATGTTTCAGCAGTCAATGGTTTCGGGCTCATTAGGAAGTGTTCTCTGGGCTTGTGCAGACACGTATGAAACTGGCCTTTGGAGCAGTTTCCATGTTTTGGGATGGAAATGGAGAAGCGTGTGTGAATGGGCCATTCACAGGTTCCTCTGTCTGTGAGGAGCTCAGTGGAGTTCTGTACAGCTGAAGACACACGAGTCCTGGCTTGTTCTGATGAGTCTTAGGACACTCTGGTTTGGCAATATTCCAGAAACTTGCCATCTATTTTCTGACAATAAAACATATGACAGAAATAAACAATCTACTTAATCTTCATTCTTCTTCTTATACTCATTGAATTCAGTTGAATGTGTAACACACACACACACATAACATATTCAATTGAATTTATATAAACATGCACACTTATATCAACATGTAATAACATGTGAATAGGTGTGTGTGTGTGTTTGTGTGTTATGTTAGTAATATGCAAAAGTTTGAAGTCTCCTGGTCATGATTAGTTGATTTTCTGCTAATTTTAGGAAAAAAATAAAAATAATCAAAATTTTTTTTAAATGTGCCAGAATTTTTGCACAGGCCACATTTTGTGTTTTTTCAAAAATGTTTAATATACCAACTAAACAGTAATTATGTGTTAAAATGTGCAGAACATCTGTTTAGGATGTGTTAACTTATTTTCACTTAGAAAATCATCAACACATGAAACTTGACCAGGGTGCCCAAACGTTTGCATACAGCTGTATATGCATAATCCATACATAGATTCATAGATTACTGTAGATTTTTTAAAGATATGCACAGTGGTAATCCCCACTAGCTTGTTTTGTTTTTGTATTACTGGTAAAATGTTAATCTTTAAACAAATTGATTTAGTAAATGTGATTATTTTGCTCTCCTGCACAGACTGGTGGAGTAAAGAGGGAAAACCAAACTGTGAGGGAGGAGGAGGAGGGGAGGGCATGAGGAGGGGAGGGGAGGAGAGTGGAGGAGTGGGGGGGGTTGAGGGGTGTGGGGCTTCTGGCCTTTAAAAGGCGGACTGTGTGTCTCAGAGAGCATTCACACTTGGACTCCTCTCTGAGAACACGCTCTCTGCTGCCTTGCTGGCTTTCTTCAGTCTCTCACTGCTTTGTGCTGGATACAGCTGAACTGAATACTTCAAAACTTTGCTGAAACTTTCAGAAAGAACTGCAAACTGAACTTTTAGATCACAGCAAACTGGAAAACAGCACCATGGATAACTCTGATGACTACTACCCAGACTACGAGGACCTGCCAAACAACAGCATGTGCGACTATGAGGAGTGGGCTCCGTCATACTCCCTCATTCCAGTGCTCTACATGCTAATTTTCATCCTAGGCCTTTCGGGCAACGGCATCGTCATCTTCACCGTTTGGAAGGCTCAGGGCAAGCGGAGGGCAGCGGATGTCTACATAGGCAACCTGGCGCTGGCTGACCTAACCTTTGTGGTGACCCTGCCATTATGGGCCGTGTACACAGCCCTGGAGTACCACTGGCCATTCGGTGCTGCCCTCTGCAAGATCAGCAGCTACATTGTACTGCTCAACATGTATGCCAGCGTCTTCTGCCTCACCTGCATGAGCTTGGACCGCTACCTGGCCATCGTCCACTCTCTGACCAGCTCCCAGCTGCGCACCCAAGGCCACATGAGGGCATCTCTGGCTGCCATTTGGATCATCTCCGGCATCTTGGCATCTCCCACACTGCTCTTTCGCAAAACCATGTATGACAAAGACGCCAACCGTACCTCCTGTGCCATGGATTTCAGCCAGGTGATCACCAAGCCTGGCCAAGAGAACCTTTGGATCGCCGGGTTGAGCATCTCCTCCACTGCCCTGGGCTTTGTCCTCCCACTCCTGGCCATGATGGTGTGCTACGGCTTCATCGGCAGCACCATCACTCGGCACTTCAACAGCCTGCGCAAGGAGGATCAGCGCAAAAGGCGTCTCCTGAAGATCATCACCACACTGGTGGTGGTTTTCGCAGCCTGCTGGTTGCCCTTCCATGTCGTGAAAAGTATGGATGCCTTGTCCTACTTGGGCCTGGCACCGGATTCCTGCACTTTGCTCACCTTCCTGCTCCTGGCCCACCCCTACGCAACCTGCCTGGCCTATGTCAACAGCTGCCTCAACCCGTTCCTCTACGCCTTCTTCGACTTGCGCTTCCGCTCCCAGTGCCTGTGCCTGCTGAATCTAAAGAAGGCACTCCATGCAAGCCCCGCAAGTTCCCTGTCCTCTCAGAAGACGGAGGCGCAGTCGCTGGCCACCAAAGTGTGAGGGGGTGGTGAGTGGAGGCTTTTTTGCGAGGAAACATCACTAGACTCTTGAAAGAAGTCTTCATCTCATTCAAGCCTTCACAACTTAAAGGTAATGCTTATTTAATTTGGAGAAGCACCACTGGACTCTTGAAGGACGTCACCCCTAGACTCTTGAAGGAGGTCATGAGCTGACCTTGTTCAAGGCTTCAAGGTAGCTCTAAAGATCTTAGACTCTTGCAAGATGTTGCAAACCTTCATAACTTAAAGGTAACTCTACAGATCTTGGAGGAACACTTGCATACTCTTCCTCTTGTAGTCCACCAGAAGACACCTTGAGGAATAGCGTGAATGAACGTGCTGGTTGATCACCTTTGGGCACTCCAAGGACTTGAAAGTGAATTTAACACAAGAGTGCAAGAGTGGCTCCGGTCATGCAGGCACCAGGGCTCCAGAGCCATAGGCCTTGCTTTTCAGCACCCTGGTAATACCTCCAGAGAGCAGAGCACAACAGACAGCTGTGCTCCAGACGTTTCAGGACAGAATTCCAGGCTGTCTCTCAGGCTGGTGGGCCATACCTCATGCGGACTTTCCAGACTTACTCTGGGGACTCTGAGACTTAGAGCTGATGGGTAGCCTGGTGGGTGGCCTGAAAGACAGATTAAGAGACATTTGCTCTCAACTTTTTAAATGAGCGCATTTTTAAACAGTTTTTATTGCTTCATTTCTTAAGCACTTGGTCAGATGCAGATAAGGATCTTGTTTTGTTTTGATCATTTTAGCTTTGAGCTATTGTCATCAAGACTGGGGTTCAAACTTGGGGTGGGGTGTCAGTCGAGGAGAAGTGTTGCAACTTGATTAAAGAGTTTCTGAGTGTGTGTGTGGGTGGGGGGGCTCAGGGGGAGACGGGGGGATCAGACTGACAGATGGTAACTGACAAATGTTGGAGGTGGAGGGCCAATTAATAGGTGGCAGCTTTTACAGATGAGAGACTGTGACGTGTGTTGGTGTGTGCCAGTGGACATTTGTGAAATGTAATTGGTCAGTTTCTCATTTTCTGCCATGAATTATTCTGTAAATAATTGTATGTATTCTGTGAATAAAACATTTCTTCAACTAGAAAAGTACTCTTTTTGTTAGCGTTCTTGCTCTTTCCCTCACAGACTGTGCTGAAATGTCTTTAGCATTAGCTGTTTCCCTGTTTTCAAGCAGCAATGAGGTCACTTATTGTCCTCCGTCAGTCCAGAATCAAAGCAAACGTCCAACAGGAAATGCATGTTACAGACAGATTTCCTCTCTGCTACTTGCTTCATACACAGAGGCCCCAAAATATCAGCGTTTTGCCCCACTGAGAAACAGTGCTGAGTGGAATTGCTGTGCATGTGTTGTTGCAATCACAAAATTTCTGGTATTTCCTCTGATAATTTCAGCAAACATGGACATGCATTACACCATTGTCCTGACTCACAAGCTGCTTTACACACATACAAACAAGAATAATGCTAATAATCTTTTACACTATGAAAACAGACTTTAGCTAGATGTTTGTGGGCTCATAATTTTTCTAATTAAGCACTTATAAACAAATGCTGCATGTACAGAGGCATGTTAACCCCCTAAAAGGCTGCCCCTTCATTAAGCCACGTTTGCACTAATGAGCTTTGGGCTGGACGTAATCTCAGCCGGAGGGAGTTACTGAAAAAGTGCTAATCTCGCCGACCCCCACATGCAGCAGGCACTTAATGTAACATACGCAATATGGACTGGGTTATTAGTACTGTATTACATAAATACACAATTAGAGTTATCACTGTATTATATAAATTGAGTCACAGTTGGGATTTGAATGAGTCAAGGGGGTCGTTTTACTTACAATCTGAAAATGCTGTCATTAAATAAACTGCATTTTATGCTGAGGTAGCAACTCCCCACAGTCATGTGCAAAAGTTTGGGCACTCCTACTCAAATGTTGGTTTTCTAAGTGTAGATAAGTAAACACATTCTCTACAGAGAACACATTTCTGCATGTTTTAATCCACAATTACTCTTACTATTACTATTTGCTGAATTTAACATATTGGGGAAAAGTAAAATGTAAAATGTGGCCAAAAGTTCTTGCGCGCTGTATGGTATATTGTATGGTTTATTTTTTTCCCAGTATGGTAAACTTGCGATCTTTGAAAAATGCCACGTTTAAATGTGTTATTTTTACTTATTTTCACTTGGAAAATCAACGAAACATGTTATTCAACCAAGGCTTTTGCATCCAGCTGTATATACTGACTGTGTTCCATTTGATAGAATAGAAACAAAAATATTTGAGCCTTAAATTATCACCTCACAATGTTGAAAATGTGATTTTCATCCAAACAGATGATCAAGATATTATTATTATTATAAAAAACACCTTTGAAAGTAAAGTTTTAAAACACTACAATGGACACAGTAAATTCATCCCACAGGCATACATCAATGTTGCCATGACTACAGAATTGTAATATGAGATCATGAGCTTAAGTTTTTAAACAATAAGCTTATTATTCAGGAATTATATGATAACTACTATGAATTGTTTACATTACAGATTCATTATTGAGGTATTAATCTCAAGGATTATTGTTCAGTGTCTTCTGAAACTAATGTGTGAGGTCTCCAGTTATGAAGGTAAAGAACTGAACCACATACAGACAGAGTTAAAAGGGTGAAGGACTTAAGAAATATGATTCAGATTCCATTTCCCAGAATGTCTACATATATATATATATATATATATGTATATAGTAATTGAAGTTTCATATAATAAAATACTTCCATTTCACTCCATTTCACATCAAACCACTCTCAATGACATTCTCGATTATTTAATTATGCAGAATGTTTTTAATTTTTGAATTTTTTAATTGATGGAATTCCCCTTTAAGTCTTCAAATGGTCCAAATTCTAATGCTGGTAAGTTTTCTACCTTGATAATTTGTTGATTTGTTGATTTCTTTCTCAACAGGGTCTATAAAAACTAGTATGTGCACCCCGTTACACAAAATATAAAGAGAAAAGTGCTGTTTAATAACCATTGAAAAACTGGTGCTATAAGGGAGCATGGCAGCCTGTTTAGCATGAAATATTCCTCCTTATCACATACCAGCAGTGACTCTACAGCTCACACGCGATAGCTGTTCATACACAGCTTCTGCGCTGTGGAGCTGTTCAGCAGAATTACATGCTGGAAATACACACCATTTAAAACTAAGCACTACAGGCCTCAGACAGAGCAAGTCTCTTGTCCATTTTGCTGCACAAATTATAAAGAAGAGTGTTTTAAAAGCATGTGCATTTATTTTCCCCTCAGCAGTTTTCTGGCTTGTGAATTGGCATTGTAGCACAGAAGGTTTAACTACTTTTTCATTTAATAATAGCTATAAACTATGTAATTTAAAAAATAAAGTGTGTAGTGTGTTATCCATACATTCAAGACATAAAATTAATATCATACGAATGGATCATATGGAGCGGGGTTTCTCTGAAGTCTGAGTGAGGAGTGAGTGAGAAGTGGGAAAGTGAACACCCGGAGCGGAGCACAGCTGGAGCGGAGTGAATACCGAAATGCTTTTGAGTGAGGAGCGGAAACGCCTGCCACTCACATGCTCTGATACACATATAGGCCATTTGAGTTTGAGGGTTGATTAATTATGTGTAGTATAATGCACATAATGAAACCCAGCCTGAGGGGTCTTTTAGTGGGGCAATACCCCACCAGCCAATCATTATGCCCCACTAAACCTACTTTTTGTACATGCTTCTAAAGCGACATGCGACAAAAGAGTGAAACTAAATTTTGTGGCCTCTGCTTGCCATACACACCTAATTTAAAAACGTACATGGAGCTGATTAACGTTGGAAGGTTTGCACATGTCACTCTGCTTTGCTCTGTTTTTTTTGTTTTTTTTTGCAGTGTGTGTTAACCCTGCAGACCCCCCGGCCCCTCTGTGGTTTTGAAATGCTCCGCATCTGATGCCAGGCTTGCATACAATGCTTTAAAATGCTTTTATTATCATCTATAGCTAATGTTTATGCTCAAAAGGACACTGAAATATGCTTGCAAAAACAATGCACTTAATAACTGAGCAAACTGTATAATCTGGAGATTAGTGTGTGTGGCAGTGAGACAGAGATTATGAGCTGAAGCATGTGTTTGTGTGTGTGTATGCAGTGAGGATCCCTCAGGGCCTTCTAGGCCTTCAGAAAAGAGCTAATTGTTTCACCCCTGGTCAAATTCTATGTTTTGTTGATTTTCTAACACATCCTCTACACGAAAACAAACTTAAATATGACATTTCTTTGATTTTAAGTGCACAATTTTGAATTAAACATAAAATATAAAATGTGCAAATTTTGCACAGGCCATGTTTTATGCGTTATTTTCCTCCCATCTGTTAAATTCAGCAAATAAACAGTGAAACAGTCCCTTAAAATGTGCCGAAGTGATAGATACAGCTGAGTGAGCTTTCTCATTGGTTAAGACTTCAGGAGCTGAATTGAAAGCCTAATACTTCTGATAGCCCCTCACATATTACTGTAGAACTGACAGTGGATTCAACCAATCACGTTTTGATTTACAATGGGTGAAACTAAATTTGTGAGATTCTAGGCTTCCAACAGTTCTAGATACATCACTAACTGTGAATATGGGCCATATTAGCCAAATTCTGCCACTGGTAAGTTTTCAACATTGCCAAAAATAACAAACTGTTATTCTTAACAGGGTCTACAAAGTATAGCCTTTCCATCCGTCACACAAAATATAGATAGAAACGTTTTTTTTAACTTTTGCAACAAACCTTGTATAATAACTGTTGAAAAACTGATGTTAGAAGGTCTAACCTCGATAACAGGGAGCATGGCAGGCATTTCTGACATAAATTTCAAATGTCCATTTGTCCAAATTTGTAAGAATCTAGTCCTTCTGGGAGTTCAAGATGTATCATTACCTGTGAATATGAATTGTAGTCTAAGCAGGTTTGTGTTAGTTTTTAGGAGTGTAAAACAGCAGCGGCAGCTCTATGTCAGAACTCTTTACTGAAAGAGTCACTGTAAAACTGATACATATGAGCTCAGATATATGATAATGTCTGTTACAAGCTTCAGATAAAACATTTGGAATGATTTTACAAGCTTCAAATATCTGTTTTTAATCTACAACAGCCACAAATGTTAATATGAATTGCTGTTAGCTAAGCGCTTACATACAATCAGAACCCCATAGGGGCACCAGCAGAAATTAGCATTATTGTAGAGGTCTTTTTAATTTTCTTGGCCATGTTTTGACATTAATGGCCCACACTGAAGGTCTAGCACTAACAGTCACTGTTCACCACTGTGTAAGTGTGTGTGTGGGGAGAGAGCAGACGACAGTGAGGGAAGTTCAGATAGGAGCGGAAGCGTGAGAGAATGGAGGGAGTTTCTGTTATATAAAAGAACCCTCTGAGACCACACAAATATGTGTGTGTTTGGACACATGTGTCCATGACTACCCCCCTCTACCCCCCCACCACCCCATAAGAATGTGTGTGGCCTGGTACCCACCTTTGTGTTTATTTTGGTTTGTTTATTTGTTTATCTGTCAGTGCTGCTCTGAGAAACATGCAGGAAACATATTCAGTAAAGGCTCGTTTACAGAAAATGCCATGTTCCTCAGCGATAAGAGTAAAATGTAATAATACATTTTATTTATATGAAACAAAATAAATTTCGCTTTGCTTTACAAAGTGCTTTACAGATGACCTAAACAAGCAAAATACATAATAAGTAGACAAAAAAGAGACAATATGACAGCATACACAAGGATGACACAATATATTTAGTCAAATCTAAAGAAAGAAAACAAAAAATGAATGATATTCAAATATAAAAACATTCAAAGAAAAGAAAAGGCTGTAAAACATAACATATATTTCTGTGCTTTTAGCATTTCATCACTAAAGCTTACACAGCTTCAGGTTGCCAAACACAAACAAGGCCAAACACGTACTTTGTAAAGATAAACATGAAAATTGGTTTTAAAAATAATATTAAAAAAATTGTCCCTTGTTGTAAACCAAAATATTCCAAAGCAGACAATTTGACCTAC